TTTCACTTTATCCGTGCAAGAATTTTCTTCATCCGTGTATCCGTTTGATTTCATCCGTGCGAATAGTTTTTTCAACCGTATTTCCGTTTGACTTCATCCGTGCGAATATTTTCTTCATCCGTGCATCTGTTTGGCCGTTCCGTTTCAAACGGCTTGGCTATCCGTTTCTCATCCGTTCGCTTGCCGTGCGTTCACTGGCCGTGCGTTCATTCCTAAGGAACGTTTTCGCGAGAGAGGTCAGTTTACTTGTGCATAATTCAAAATGGCAAAACCCCATCATAGACCCATCTGTCAATCCATGTTATTAACTACACACCTGTATGCCACAGAAGCTACTTGTGCCTCATCCTCATCAGTAACAAATGGGTTAGAGTTAGGGAATACTTTTTTGTCTTGCCCTTTCTTCAGGCACTGCTGTGAGAAGTTTTGATTGATGAATGTTGCTTCAAGGCCAAGATTTGTGGGAGAATTAATTCCATTTCCTTCATCAAAAGCCACATCATGTGCAGTCTCACTCACTGTAAGTAAATCTAAAAATAAAAGAAATCAATGCTACAAAACCCATTCTACTAAGACGACCTGAATGCACTAGCAGATGCCAGGGACTTACAACCTACATTGAAGAAGATTATGGATAATGTTATACTTGATATAGACACAATACTGAAACAATACTAGAGCAGAGCCAAGTGAACACTGTCAGATCATTGCTACATGTACTGTACATGCTGTAGTGTGAGAAACACAGAGAGAGAGAGAGAGAGAGAGAGAGAGAGAGAGAGAACATAAACAGTAAATAAGGCACATAAATTATTTGATAATGAACATGGTGATACTGTTGTGTACAGTGAGTAAGATGGGGTTGCTAAGAGTAGAGAGAGCTGTGATGTCAAGTCAAGTGTGAAATCCATAGCCATTGGATTTTTGGTTATCATACAGAAATATAAGGAACTACAGTGCAGCACATCTGGAAACACTCTTCACGAAGTCTGAAAATTTATTCATAATTGTTGTGAAGTATTATAGTCTCTGTTAATCAAACAAGGAAGTCACATGTTCCAAGTAAATTTTTATGATTGAAGAGTTCTCTGTAGCTCATTTATTCTATACCTTTCATAGTAACACACAAAAACAAACTTCTTTCTACAAATTGCAACTTACCAAATTCAGAATCATCTCTCTTGTCAAAAAACAACTTTGATCCAACTCGCTACCAAAAAAATTGATAACTATCAGGAAACTAACCAAGAAATAGTGCAGTTATGGGCAAAGTAATATTATTGATGTAAACTACATTGCACCTCTTACCATCATCCTCTCAGAGCTGTGCATTGTACCCTAATATGATATGACCATTGAAATGAATAAAATTGCGTGCAACAGCAGAATGATTTTGGTTTAAGTTTCACCAAAAAAAAAACTAGTAATTGAATAGGACTTGAACAGTTTTACAAATGATTGTTTAAAAAGAGAAAAATTGACAAAGAATTGCATCACATTGCATGATGATTTCATGTGACACACCAAGCAAGTGTATGGCCATGAAGTGGTTATGTATTTGGCTGGGAATAGCATGGCTGGGCTTGAATAGTAATGGTGGAAAGTGAAGTGTCCCATACTAAGTACATATGTACACATACCACCATCACACTTGCTTAGTGAAGTGAGTTACAGCCACCTTTAAAAACGGGCTAATTGTATAAAAATAACAATACCTGCACTACAACATCCCAGGAGTACACAGATCGCGTTGCAGTCATAAGTGTGGCTATTATTGCATCAGTTGCAAAAACATTTCCCTTGGAAAGCAACTGAAAAAAAATTTGCATGGCCAGTTTTTAATAATACAGTAACAACCATGCACTACAATGGATATTTACCAAACTTGCAATGATTTATCTAGATTGTACATTACACTAAGCTGGTAAAGTTCAGTTTATCTTGAAAACAATGGTTATGAAATTTATTTAGGGAGAAAATAATCCAGAAATGAGGAAGAATTTCTTAGCAATTAAATGTTCATTTTAGACAGAACAGAGAATTTCAATAAAACTAGTAAACTAATGTTCCCTCGAGTTTTCAGCTTAGTTTACCATATTTATTCGTCTATAAGCCGAGACCCTAAACTTCAGTCGGTTTTGAGCGGGAAGGATCTTACAACATGTAAATTGAAAATACTTGGCTATAAGCCGAGACCATATTCAGAGAATTCCATTCTCAAACAAACTGAAATGAACGCAAAAGTTTCGGAACAGAAAAGAGTTTCAATGCAGTATTGCCGTCGAAAACAGTTCTGAGATAACCAGAGAGTAAGTCATCAGTGAGTCACTTGAGGAAAGATCAAGAGAATCTCTTTAATGGAGAAAGGCTGACAGTTTCTAAAGAAACTGTTTGGGGCTGCGTCAGTGGGGGTAACGAAATAATTTCAATATATCAACAAAGTTGAAATGGTAAATTGGCCACTGTTATGATTATAAAAGCTGACGTTTTATGGCTTTCCGTGCTACCTAAGTGTAAGGAAAGATCGCAGATTGCCATATGTTGCTTAGAATGATTAGGTAAATTAAAATGTCTAGCAACTGGTTTCGATGTGTCCTCGTCATTCCTCTCCAGATTGCGAAGGTGTTCTCGGAATCGGTCTTTAATGGAGAGCTTGAGATGTCAGCGTAACGCACAACGAAATATCCGCGGCTGGAGGAGAGATTACTTATTACTGGTTTACAGAGCAGAGAAGCCAACGTAAGTTTTCTTTTAGCATGATCACAAATTTCAACACCGTAACATGTGATGAGTTTGTTTACCAATCGTGGGAATGGGCAATTCTGATTGGTCAGTTTCGAAATTCTTAAAACACTTTCGCAAGATCCATACATTCATTCAAAGCCTGCAGAATCTTAAATACTCTAGACAGCATGGAAGATGAAGCAATCTACTCGGAATAAACGGAAGAACTAGCAGATGAGGAGATGGACAACGAATTCCACGCTGACACTGAGGACAAACAGTAAGCCGTATTCACTTCGCACCGAAAATAACAAACCGCTCCCTTTGAAGCAACCACATAAATAAAGTCAATGACCAACTTCAACTTGTTTTGTTATTTACTTCTGCATGCAACGTCTCGACTTATAGGCGAATATATCTGTTTCCTTTGAATTTGCTGTTTCAAAAAAATAATGTTTGGAAAAACACTCGGCTATAAGCCGCGAACCCTTCTCTAGCTCAAATTTTCGAGATTTTGGTAAAATTTTGTGAAAAAATCGCTCGGCTTATAGATGAATAAATACAGCAACAAAGTTTTTAAAGTGCTACTACGACGAAATTTTGATGTTGTGTTTGTTACAAAGAATCATTTATATCAGGTTATTAAGGAAGACTGTAACTTAAAATTTCATTGAAATGAAGATTTTCACCCCTCAAACTGGAAAAAAATAGCCCTGAAAAGTTGTTTTTTCGCGTCCGCCATCATGAATTTACGTTCCAGTGAGCCTGCGGTATAGAGCTGCGGCTACGCGCTTTTGGCCTATTGTCTTTTTGTCGTGACATCATTTTCTTAATTTCTCACGTATTAAATTTGCTATTGTCTTACATACATACATACATACATACATACTTTATTTATTCCAGAAGCAGACTATGTATACACTAAGAGGAAATGGAAAATATGCTTCCAGAAAAGGAAGTTAAGAGGTTATCCCTATGTGAAAACTCCCTAAAAAATAAGTCTAAATGAAAATAAAATACTTAGTTATAATTAAATATTTAAATACAATTTAAGCTGAGATTTAAAATGCTGAAGATTATCAGCTTCCACTATGTTTCTTGGTAATTCATTCCATAATTTAACAATCCTAATGAAGAACGAATGTTTATAACAATTAAGTCTTGCTGGTTTGACGTAAAGTTTGTACTGATGATTTGCTCTCGTACATCTAGTTGTGGCAAAATCAAAAAAGGTTCCAAAATCTAAATGGTAAAAACCAAAAACAATTTTATAACACTCAATTAAAGATAGATAAGTTCTACGGTCGGAAAGAGTAGGCCATTTTAGCAATTTGCATCGGTCTTCGTAGGACATGTCTCCTTTGCGTTGATTTAAAGCAAGTCTTGAAGCTCTTCGCTGTACATTCTCAAGAGCATGGATGTCCTTGACGAGGTAAGGACACCAGACAGGTACCACATATTCCAAAATTGGCCGTACAAGAGATTTATAGAGCATAGAAAAAATATTTGCATTAGCGGTGCCTATCGAGCGTTTAATAGAACCTAGGACTTTATTCGCTTTGTTCACAGTTATACCAATGTGGTTACTCCATGAGAGGTCCTTAGTTATTATAACACCGAGATCTTTAAATTTATCTACGTCTTTCAAGGGCTGTCCAAAGAAATAATTGGTCACTGACTTATCACGTGAATGTGTAATTCGCATAGATTCACATTTATCCGCGTTAAAACGTA